ATTTTTTCAAAATAAAGTTTTGATATACAATTGAATTATTGTAAGAATATAGAAATCACTCAAAATTAACAATGATAATAACTAGCAATAACAACAATTTGTTTAATACGAAATTATATCGATATATTTTTCAGGGAGGCGACAACTCTTGTTTTCTGAATTATTAACAAAATCAAAAAAGGGAAACCATTTTTCCAAGGATATGTTCTTCTTTGATAATACTTCAGCCATCCAAATTTGCGATGCTAATTTATCCATACCTGCTATATCCCATCCCTTAATAACCCATTGGCGGATCGTAGGAGCTTTGTTAAGTTTCCAGGATTGTGCAATCAAAGTTTTTGCAGCGCTTAATAAAAGTGCAGCTAACTCCATTTTTAATTTAGTTAGCCGTAAAGACGGCCAAAAATGTAAAAGAATAGATTCCGGGGTTTTAGGAAGATCACAATTAAGAATTCTATTGATCAGATCTATAATTTTGGACCCTTTGTCCCTCTTAATGTCCCAGAGGCGTGGGCTTCTCTGCAGGAGACGCGGCGTGAGTCGGGTCAGGCTCAGTCACCAGATGGGGGCAAACATGGCCATCCTGTGGCCTTTGCCACTCCGGAAACGGGTGCGGGAGGAAAAGCCAAAGCCGCCCATCCCCTTGAGCGGTGCTCCTGAGCTGCAGCGAGCAATGGAGTGCTTTTTTGGGTTCCCCAGAGGCACACGTGACGCGAGGCAAGCTGGGTCAGCAGACGGCTTGCATCACGCGTCTTGTGTAGACAAGCCCTCAGGCCAAGGTCAGCGCCAGCCCTTTGAGTTGGGCACAAGAACTGATAGGGAGGCGGAAATAAAATGACTCTGAGCTACTCTGGGTACATCAATGCAAAACATCGAAGGGTGAGCCTTGACGTCTGTGTTGCTTTGGTCATGACTGTACAGCCGGAGAAAAGGGAGGGTACAGGGAGCTGGCTCAGGAGCAGTCCAGAGGGCTGAGCTGCCCTTTCTCAACCTCTTCCCTTCCTCTCCATCCTCTGTATCCTGCATTATTCCTGTTCTGGACGGCATCCCTTTTAAGGCCTCATCTGGATCTTTCCAGCTGCAGCTTTGCTTGGGCTCCTCCTCTTTGTCTCCTTTGCCCCGTCCACCACCAGACCAATCTGTGCAAACAGCTTATCTTTCTTTTGAACTCCGAGGAAGCTGGACTTTTTTCGCAGCCGTATCCATAGCGTGTGCCCAGGTTGCTGGTTTCTTTGCGTTGGTGACGCTTTGCCAAAGACTTTCCTCTTGGCCAAGTGAAAGCACTTGATGGCTTCACTGACGAAGTGGGGTAAATTCTGCAGCATTCCAGACTGGGGAAGGGGAGGATCTGGCGGTGAGGACCAAAGACCCACCTCCTGCTCACAGCACCCTGGGGTGGGTTTGATTACGGAAGGGGGGGGAGCTAACAATGCTGTTTTTTTAAATGCTGGTTTTTAAACCCTGTCTTCCCCCTCTTTCTTTCCAGTGCCTGGAAAAGTTTCCCGTGATCCAGCACTTCAAATTTGGCAGCTTGCTTCCCATCCAGCCCGTCACATCTTAAGGAGGCGGTTTGGGGGACGAGGCGCAGAGAAAGCGGGCTGCAGTCGGCACTCTCCTCCCCCCTTACCCCACACCTTGCCACCCCACAGCCCCTTCTTTCCCGTGGGTTATCTTGTGTTAGCATATGGGGCGGGGCAAGGGGGGGAAGAAGCAGTTGAGAATCTTGCATGGGGGGGACCCCGTTAAAACGCAAGATCTCCAAGCGACCTTGGACCATGACAATCCGGCAACGTGTTCCTCGCTGCCACCTCCGTACAGAACTCTCCTTCATCCCCAGCATGTTCAGCCTCTCGCCGCTTGTGTTTTATTTTGGAAGGCCTGCTGTAGACAGCTCCGGGGAAAATACAAGTGCTTTAAACGGAGGGGCGAGGCTTGTAGCACGAAGACTGTTCAGGGTGTGTGTGGCTTTTGTCTTTGTTTTTCTCGAATCCCCTAGAAGGCTGGACTTGGGGGGGGGGCGCAAAGATGGTCCCGGGAGTACTGCAAACTGTTAAGGGCCAACCGGGTATTTTGTTTTGCTTGCAGCGGAAGGCGTTGGTCACCTCCTCCTTGGTTGAAGCTTCTTTCTTTTGACTTACTGGAGGGAGGCAAGAGGGAATCAAAGCTAAGCGGGTGCCTGCATATGCTAGGTTTCCAGTTGCTGGGGTGGGTGGGTGGATGGGGGTCCTCAGGCCAACGGAGAGAGTCCAGCTAGAGACTCGAGTGCAAGAAGCCAGAGAGTCGGGGCCATGCGAGCACAGCTGTCTTCCTGTCTGTCATCTATGGGTGCACAGTCGACAAGCCCCACAGCTTGCCTGTGAAACTGTCTGAATGTGGGTGGAGACTGATGGGGTGCCCCGTGCTGTTACAGGAGGGCCGTGCTGGAGCAGAGTCTTTCTATCCCTCCTCTCTCTCTCTCTCT